GTATTGACGCATTTCCCGCTGCATTGCGTTTGGCCTGTAGGGCACTGGGACTTACACTGACCACCGCTGCAAGTTTGAGTATCTGGGCATTTGTTACCGCAGGTGCCGCAGTTCTTGGGATCAGTTTTTATGTCAACACACTGCCCACTGCATTGCTGCTGGCCGGTAGGACATTGGGACTTGCATTGACCACCGATGCAACCTTGACCATCAGGGCATTGCTTGCCGCAAGCTCCGCAGTTCTTAGGATCCGTGTTCAAGTTCGCTCCCGGTGGTTTGGCGCCTGGACCACATACGTAGCATGGTCCTTGGCCCTTTGCAGCGAGGGAGGTACAATCATTTCCTGGCTGGGGAAAGTTGGTTGCGCACCACTGGGCACACTCGTCATTCCCATTATCAATATTCTGGGGTGCCGCGGTCACAGCTGAATGAACCAATTAGTTCAGTACTTTTTGAAGCTCCCAAGGATCAAGAATATCTTGTTGAGGGAACTGACCTGCTAACAGTGACGCAAGTATAAGAAGTCCTTTCATCGTGTCAAAAAGAAGTCGGCTTGAACCTTGGTGAGAGACAACAAGCAGACTTGGGCTTTGCTGCCTACTTATAGCTCTTCGAGGCTGCTGCCGATATACTTCACAAGTGCATAGAATGCGTAGCCTGGGATTAGGGGCGTGCTGAACACGACCTCCAATACGAAAAGTCTCTGAGTCTGAAGATGATCTAGACCGTGTGATCCAAACCAAGATGAGGGATTTACGATAGCTTCATCATCACCTGCAGCGCCAGAATCTGACTTTGAAACACTACCGCTGCAGCCTGAGGAGACCGGTCTCAAGACATCTGTGACGCAATGGACTTGCTGTCTGGATAGCTTCAGTACGGAGGAGCCTGTGTATGTTAGTTTATGCCACGATACTTTCTCAGACAAAGAGGACAGTCGATCCGGTTCCATAGTATCCAACACGAACATCGAACACGAATAGCTAATACAAACCTAAGAACACAAGCATTGATTGCGAAGTCTAAATCGGACTTAAACTTGATGTCACGGCGCTCATTGGTCTGATAATTCTGGCACTTTGACTAGAACTCTGTATACTGAGTACTTCGTCTGTTGCGGACCAACCTATGTGCATAGAACTCGTGATTATCGTGATAGCATTCCTACAGTGCAGCGAGATGATTCGATAATGCCTTACTCTGTCACCCAGAACTCCGAGCTCCAATACGATAGAATCCCTTTGACCCGTAGAGTGCCGAATCCGGGCTATTACCACGCCTTTCAGGTTGAGTAGGTTGGCTTTACGGTGTCTCAAGCCGATCCTGAATGACCCGCTGGTAAGGCTATTCTTCTTCCTGTTCGTATCTCTTTGAAACCACCGGCTGCATCAGCCATCAGGGCAAACGACGACCCGCGAACAGCTCGAACCAGACATACTATCGTTTCGCGAGGACGTCCTGACCAGTGATGGATCCTGTCGGATCAGCAGGGTCTCGAGGGATTTGGAGATGAACGGCAGATGATTCGTCTTTTGTATGCAACCCGTTGGTACATGCCCACGGGTAATAGAAAGCCCAGGCCTCATCCTGGACCACACAACCACACAGTACCAGAAGCAAGTATCTTGAAAGAAACCCAGAAAGGGATACGGGCCTGGGGAAGACAGTTACAGGAATGGAACTGGGACTCTAGCAAGAAGTGATACTTGTAGCTTTCTCTTTGCTCCAACTTTCGGTTCCATTTCTGCGTTTACGACTGGACTTGTGTATACCGTTATTTGTAGGTTTTGACCTTGTCCCTGACGGTCTGGTACTTTACAGCTTGCCATTCTTTTAGGAGCGTTGAGAGTGTAAGCCGGGAATTTTGTTAGTAACGCGATCCTGGTTCATGTCTCTCGCCCATAATGAACCACTGAATGGAGTAGGTAGTCTTCAACTCAATAAGATCGTACTAAGCAATGAACTCAGAGGTTTAGAGCCAACCCAACCATTTACTCGCGACTTCCGCATAGGTCCATCACACTTCAACTCTTTACTCCAAGCTGCCAGCAATTAGAGGCTGTGGGCGCATGCCCCTCGCAATCGAGATGAACTTCCTCCCATGATGGCGGAAACAAGCTTAATCTGGCCTTCGGCCTACCGCGGAACCATAACCCTAGCCCCACACGAAGCAACCCGCCACTTGTCAGTTTGCAGGTTATGGGTGGGGACGCACGGGCACCGGATCCACGGCTCGCATCCGAGCGCAGTTGAGAGATGGCAGCTCCCTGGTAGGTCCCTTTGGGGTCTGCGGTTCGTGTAGGCAATTCTAGGTGCACCGAGAGGGGTCAAGGGTGAGGTGCGTGGACAATGATCAGTAAACAGTGCTAGGCACTCATAAGTCACACAATTTGCCCAAGTCGCATTCGTGATGGAAATTAAGGGGTGCAACAATTTCTACGTGGCGTTTTGGATCATGTGGCTATGGTCTTGACTCCGAGTAATCCAGACAACGCTCAGAAACCAGGCCGTCTTCTCTGTTTCCCCCCAATAAATTCAGTTTCGATATGACCCCCTAAAGTAAACGAACACCGACTGGAGGCTCACGTGAATGGAATCCACTCAAATTTTCCTGCCGACCTGCGTCACTTTTCGGTCTGCTGGTAGAGCGAGATGTGGGGCTGTGGGGACGGTGGGATGGCCGTCGTGTTGGTGGTTGGGAGTGGCAGTTACGGCCGAAAGTTACTCTTCGATCCCCGGGGATGTGGCTATTAACTTACTGGAGGGGCTTGATTCTTATACACAAGACTTGTAGGGTTGTTCTTGGAGCCAAAGCGAAGAGTTGCTCCGGGACTGCTCATGAAAATGGTTTGATGGACCACGAGGAGGAACTGGTGGTCATCATATCAGACTGAATCTAAAATTAGGCGAAGCAGGCCATCTACGATACGCTTGACATTCTTGCGGACAGTGCTTTTCGAGGGAACCCTCTTGTCTTATTTCAAGCGGACAAACTCAATCTCGTGTAGATAGTGAGTTTTCACATGACCAAGGCCCATAATCCTCAAAGTCGGCATGCTCGGGGTCCAATTCAACAGACGCGGCGCGTTTTGTTGTTAGGCCTCGCACTCCCAGGTGGAATTGTGTTGGGGAAGGAGTGGTCTAGCGCAGGGGATGATTGACTCCAGTCGCTTATTGGGCATGTTGGCATGTTATTGTTGGAGGTGGGTGAATGACGCACCAAGAAGAGTTTCTATTAGGGCTGACATTGCATACGGAAGGGAGGAAACAGGCAAATGCCTTGAGAGATAAGGTTCCCTCCAGCTAGTGGAATTCTCGTCGCAATGAAATTGACTTGGAGTGGATCGCTGGAGTTGCAAACGATGACGACGATCAGAACTACAATTATACATAACAAAGGACAGACTTGACCGGTGGAGAGGTAAAATGTGGGGATATGATGAACCAGTAGCACTTATAGGGAGGGCAGAATGAAACACTGGCACCGCTGAAACTCCACGAACTAATGTCAAAACCCTTCTTCGTCCTAGAACTGTAGGGGCCCTCTCAGTCGCCTCGGATAACCGACCAGCGGGCGCCAATCGCTCCAAAAGTGTATCCAGCAGCGACACTTGAAATTCAATACGACGCTCAGAAGCCAGTGTCCGTGTGATCATCTCCGCGGACCACACAATGCGATTGAGTTCTCAGCTAGAGCGGATTTACGAAGCCGCACTTGTTCCGTGGGTGGAGCTCTTCCGGATCCGACAGTCAGTGCATCAAATGCCTTTGTTACTGAGACTGAAGTGAGCTTTAAGCTTTCGGGGAACCAAGCCATGGGCCCGTGGAATTCGCCAGGTGGGGCTGAATCACCGGGCGAAAGAGGATCGAAATTTCAATCTGTAAGATAAAGATAACATGAACTCAAGCTCAAAATTCTCGGCCTAATTCAAGGCTCAATCTACGGTCGCCACTTCCCCGCATCCTGAGCAATTAACCGTTGAATCCTGCTGTCTATTGACTCTCAATGTAATGTAATGTACTAGCATACATCAAAATGTGGTTCAGCCCTACTCGGCAACAACTGATACTGGGCTCGTCACCACATCTCCCATAACGTGTGGTTCGCATCCATGAACACGATTGTCTATGGCTTGGCTATGCTCTTACATTTTGTCCTTTGCTTCTTTCCCTTCTTTTGTTTTGTGGTGGTCTGTTCTAGATTTCTTTTCTTCTTGAACTTCACGTAGACTCTGGCGCCAGATTCCAGGAGAACTCTTTTTTGGTGACCAGATAATTCAAGGCACTGAATCTCTCAGAGGAGGAGAATTTCCCTTTGCCTCTGCAATGCTAGTGTCTAGGCCTCGAGACTCCCTTGCTTTCTATCTAGCTGGGCTGCTCCACAGGCGATCCTATACACCTGCAGACTGCTGGCAGTCAACAAGAGCCCAGTAATATAGGTAATCACTCTCAGCCCGAGAATCAAGAATACAGACCCTTTATTCAGCTGACTGTCCAACGCCTCTAATGGCGGTGATAAAAGAAGGTAGGAAATAATACATCTCTTGGTATAGTCTGCTGCCCTAATAGGATATCTCACTCTTTCTAAGCCGTGGTTCTCGTCGGTGGTGCGACTTAGATACCGTAGAGAGCAATCTTCAGGGATTAAGTTCGGATCGATAATAGATTATGAATAGTTGGAGACTTGTTTAGCATCCGCGGTGAATTCTATCGCATGCCAAACCCTAAGCTGCGTGTAGTCGTGCCTCCATCACAATCATATTTACGATATCATTTCGAACCCATGGAGCAGATAGACCATGTGGCTTCTCACCTGTTCTTCAATTGAAACATACATCCAAAAATTCAAGTCACTCCTCACCAATAGCGCCCACCTCCTTCGCTATCGCCACCATCCCCCGCAGCAGCTCCTTCTCCGCGGCGCTGAACCTCCCGACACGATCCGCCGCCACACAGCAGACGTTATTCTGCTGCAGCTTCCACGCGCCCACGGCCGTCGCATCCGGCGGTTCCGTGATGAACGCCTCGAACGCCGTCGGCTGCTGGCGCGGGTCGTCCGAGTACTTGTTCGGGAGCAACCACCCATTGAACCACAGCGGGCGGCCGTCGGTCCCCAGGTGCAGCAGCTGCGGCGCGCAGATGCGGAACCGGGGGTCTTCGGGGCTCCCACGCTCCGAATCATCCCCAGCTGCATCCACCGTCCCATTCCCAGCTGCTGCCCGCGCGCGGTTCACCTGCGCCGTGCCCATGACCGCCGCGGCGCCCTCGTGGAACGCGTAATCCGTATCTCCGACGAGCTCCCAGCCCAGCCAGAAGGTCTCTTTATCGCCTGTTGACCCGTTAGCCATGCTCATCATCAAGCAGTAGTAACCCCTCCCCTTCCCAAACATAGGCACAAGGAAGAGAAGACAAACCGTAAACCATATCATAAACGCCGACCTTGCCGGTAGCCGTATCACCATCGCGATCCGGCCCATTCAGCCGCGTCACCAGCAGCAACGCCACAAAATGCCGCCACTTGTCGACGACCACCACGCCGGACTCCTGCATGTGGATGCTCTGGCCCGTCCACATGCGGCTGCGGCGCACCGCCCGCGACAACGGCGCCGGCAGCACCTGCCGCAGCCACGCGCGCTTCTCCCCGGGCATGAGCAGCCGGTCCTTGAAGAAGAGGGCCCCGGTCTCGACGTAGCCCGGGTCATGGAACAGGTCCGCCGGGTTGGTGAGGAACAGTGCGTCCGCGTCGATGAAGATCGCTTCGCGGAAGCTGGAGAGCAAGATCGCAAACGGCTTGGCCGCCCAGCCGCGCAGCGTCCAGCCTTCGTCGTGCACCATTGGTGATAGGTCGCGTGTGAGAACGCCGGGGATGGCTTCCAGGGCGTCGCGGGCGTCTTCGCCCAGGTCGTCGTCGCCGAGGTACATGATTTCCACCGGGAGGGTGCAGCCTTGTTGCCGGAGAGATTGCAGGGAGGTTAGGACATAGGGTGCTTGTTTGTTTCCCGCGGTCAGGACGAGGCCTCTTCCGCCGTGGTGGAATTGCGTGTGTAGGGTGGTGTGTGAGGGGAAGTAGGGGCTTGTCCAGCCGAAGAGGCGCGTGGAGAGCTGGGTGTAGAACGTGCGGAGGGTTTCGTAGCTGTGCATTAGGGTCGGAGTGTCGGTTTGGAGGCTGTGGGCGATGGCAGGGTCATTTTGGAGGAGCTGCAGGATGTCATCGCGGGTGAGGGGCCCCGTGGCTGTTGGGACGAGGTGGACGGCTTCCCAGGCGTCGAAAAGGGAGCGGAAGGCCCGGGCCCGTAGGCCGAGTTCGTGGAGTTTGGCCTCGCCCGTGCTGGTGATGGGACTCACGAGGTCTTGCGCCTGGATTGGGTAGGGCATGAGGGAGAGGAGGTGGGCGAGGCTCTTGGTGAAGTTTGTGGGGTCGAAGCTGGGAAGGATGTTGCTGGGAGGAGCTGGGCTGGGTAGGGCAAGTGGCCCTTGGGAGTGGGGTTGTGCAATTGCAGCGCTTGGGTCTTCGCGTCTGTAGATGGGAGAGCTGCAGTGTCCTGAGCGGTATTCCAGGGTGAAGAGGGTTGCTTTGAAGCAATACCCTGCCAAAAGCACGATGAGCAGTGCTTTCGAAAGGATTGAACCCCGGCGGGTTTGGTTAGGAAAATGCGAGAGAGTATACATCACACTGAAATGTTGCGGGCGGGCGTAAGGGACCAAGTGACGGGCGTAGAGAACGAAACACAGGCCCACTACCAGGCAAGTCTTTATAGCATATACCACGGAATTAGTTTCGATTGAGGAGCAAATGCCCATGTCCAGCGCATGGTCCTGACGTCGAAGGTTGCCGTATTCATGTAAGACCACGTCCTCATTCTTCAGCGTCTCCACCCCGGTCTACATTGGTGACCTTCTTGGACTCCGCTAAATTCTTCTGAACTGCAAATTTGACACGAAAGCGTGACGGGTGAAAGGTACGCTACAAACACGAGCAGTCCCGCCCACCTCGTGCCCTAAAAGAATTCGCACAATCCCACACGCTCGACCAGTAAACTCACAGCCAAGATTATGTACGATCAAGCACCCACACTAAGAAGCGGACTGACCCACAGGTTTTATGTGGAGGTCACGATCGGGTGCGAGCCATGGGTCCGTCGTCAGTCCCAGCTCCCTCTTCCTCGGCCCACGGGAGGAGGGGACTCTATCCTTACCGGGGTTGAGCTTGCTTTAAGCTCTTTCGTTCGATCGGCCGGGGCGTGCCAAGATAAGTTCGAAGTATGTGGTCGAAATACGAGACGGAGGTGCCAGTGGGAGTGGGCTGGCTGGGCATGGAATTTTGGTCATTTTGGGATTGATTTCTCCTTCTTGTTATTTTAACGTTTACCTCAATTGAACTTACTTTATGTGCCATGTTCACAATTCAATAGGGAAGACAATGCGATTACGAACCAGCCTTTGTGGTCACAACGACTTCGATCACGTTTTGAGTAATCTAGCCCACGTGATCCGAGGCGATTCACCAAGCGCAATGCCCACCTTGAGAACTCCGATAGTTCAACCAACCCAACCACCAAAACTTCAAAGAAACACGTGCCAGATAGCCCACCCCTGAGGCCTCGCATCGCTGCCACAGTTTCCCAAGTTGATCGATGAACACAATGACGACGAGCCTTATGTAGACGACGGTGCCTGTATATACAATGGGGGCGAAGCGACGGACGCACTCTAGGTATGACCTCACAAGCCTCCGCGTATTCACAAGACTCCGTCCTATCTTCCTCCGTTGCTGGTGTCTTCGTGTCATTGGTAGTTTGACTGATTCATTGAGTGTCAGGATCGATGGCAAGGTCATCTGACTTTCTTTCACACCAGGGAGTGCTGGAGCTTACTCTCGCACAGGAGCTCTAGCCTTCGGCATGAAGATCGGTTCGAATGCCAACTCCGATCAGAATCGCTGTCATGCTACTGACCAAGTCCATCTACACAGCTCAGAGCTTGCCCGAGCTGGGAGAACCATATTTGCACCCCGAATCGGCGCCACACCTCAAGCCTCGATTTATCGGGAGATTCACTACATGCTGACACGAGATCAAGGCCGGCCGTCTGGTTCCGGCTCGACTTTCTTTTTGGCCTCGACGTATTACGGTGTCGCGGATATTCACCTACCGACGCGGGACAAGACCAGGCCAGAAAAGAAAACACCGACGGTCGGTCACACCACATAGTCGTCAAAGTTGGCATTCTCGGGGTCGCGATCCAGCAAGAACGCGAACCGCCGGGCATTCCGCTTCAGGTACTCGGGCACGTCCGTGACGTGCGCGATCTTCTCGTAGTCCTGGCCCTCACGGTCGAACAGGTCGAGGCCGTGGCGCACGCGGCGCACGATCTCGCGCGGCTCCACGAACTCGGGCCGATTGTACTCGGTGTGCGAGAAGCCGCGGATCTTCTGCACCAGCTCCGAGACCCGCGAGAAGCACGAGCTGCAGTGCCAGCTGGCGTTGCCCAGGTCGAGTCCCGTCGGGTTGCCGGCGCTCTGCATGCGCAGGTCCTCGGGGAGGATGGTCCGCTCCAGGCCGGCGTAGACGGTCGCCTGCGGGTGGTGCCAGTCGCCGCCGACGTGGTGCCACTGAAATGAATAGTAGTAGAAGCGACTGCGGAGGGTGACCCGCGGCGGGGTGACGCAGTTGCGGAGCAGGGTCAGTGTTTCCGGCCGCGGGATCTCGTCGGCGTCCGAGACGAGCAGGATGTCGTTCGGGTTGGGGCGCGCGGCGCCCAGTAAGGAGGGGAAGATCGCGGTGAACAGGGCGTTGCGCGTGTAGGCCTCGCGCTCCCAGGTGCTATTGTGGCGTAAGGGAGCGAGGTCCAGCGCGTGGTAGAGGATCTTGGGCGCAAACCGGGAGAAGTTGGCGTAGTGGTTCGCAAAGTGCAGGGGCTTCGGCTGCCCCGTGAAGGTCTCGGTGGACTCGACGATCACAAAGTAATCCACTTGGCTGTCTAACTCATGCATACGGATCTCAAGCCAGTCCAGCTCCGTGCTGAAGGGGATCAAGTCGTAGATCTTACGGCCCTGGGTGCGCTCGCGCCACGGCCGGAGATCGTGTTGTGCGCAAAGGGCTTCCGCTTCGGCTTCGGGGAGATAGTCGTGGTGGTGGGGATCTGGGAGGATGGCGGCGGGAACAGCGGCATTAGCTGAGAGTGAGGATGGAGGAATCAGCAGGTAGGGTCTAAGTAGGAGGCATGTTGTGGTTAGTAGCGCGGAGAGGAGAAGTGTTTGCTGTAGTCGTTTGCTGGACATTCTGGAGAGTGGTCGTGGGATATGGTGAACAATGCCCTTGAAAGAGTTCCTCTCAGAATTCATGATATGAGGAGAAGAATAAGAAGGCATCTGTAAGTTTGGGGAATCCCTTCGCACTGAATGCGATTTGTAGAGGCGGCTTGAGAGGGGACGTAATACGACAAGACAGTGCGAACTAGTCTCTACACATGCAAGGCAGAGTATAGTGCGCGCTATGGACCGGTAGCACTCGAATGTGACACTTATTTCAATTGGGCCTAGTAAAGTCAGTGAAGAGGCAGTAGGTATCGTAGTCATAGGTATTGCTGGAACTCTTCGGACCCATCCCAGGAAGCTTTTTTGGATCCAGAGAGGACGTGTCTAGATCCCTTTGATTCAGCATCGGATGATTGATTATTGATCGGCGGGGCACGAATCACTCTTCAGGTGTATACGACAGCGATGCTTGGAATCTATTACGATTCTGGATCCCAGTGCTCTTGTGATCGTCTTTGTGGATGACAAGCATGTTCTGGCCACCGACCTCGGTCCGAGTGGGTTTACGAAGCCGCGCTGGTTCCGTGGTTAGGGCTCACCCCGGTTCGAGTTAAGAGCTTGCATGCGCTGGTCACTGCAGTCATGACATCGAAGTTTCTTTGTCGGATTGTGTCTCGGAGATTTAAGCTCGCGGAACGAAAGCTTATATTCCCACGGTACTCGATGGGATCGAGATGGAGGGTCTGCAAGATAAGCATGAATTCAAATCCGCGGTTTTGAACAGAGAGCGCATCATACGGTTGCCACTCCCGCAGTTGGGTGAAAATATTGTACCAGTTTTCTCACCGCTAGTCGCCATTAGTTGTTGTTGTCGTTGGACTTTGGGGGTACCTAGTACTTGGCTACTATTATATGAGGTGTGATGTAGTCACTGTGGGGTAGAGCATTTTCACGGGGTAGGGGGACCACTACTACTGAAGTTGATTCCACATCCCCCCTCTTCCAACAAAGAAGAAGATAGTAACGATAATCAATATTATGGGAAAAAGAAAGAAAAGATTAAAAATGAAGAAAAATCAAGTAAACTCAAAAGAAAGGAAAGGAGCAAGGAGGAAGTTGAGATTTGGTTTGGTTACCTTGACTGTATATGCTATCAACTGTATCTTGCAATCCGTGTAGAGTCTAACAACTGCTCCTATGAAGTTCGAGAACCGTATCGCACGCTGCAAGAATTCTGAACCATCATGCGCCATTGCCATCTGATTCGATCGTGACTTACAAGGGATCAATACTCGACCATCCCACGATATGCAAAGGGGACTATCGAGCATCGCCCTTGTGCATGGCCGCGGTGTAGAGAACAATGCCCAGCACCGCCAGCAACACACCCAGAACACTCTCCGTCGCCATCGCCGTCGAGCTCCGCATCCACCCCAGCGCAATGACGAGGCACGTCTTCAACTGCCCCACCACTGTACTGGTCACTGCGCCCGCGCGATTGATTACGTGGAAAGACGAGAGGTTGATCAAGCATGCACACCCGCCACTCAGCAATAAAAGACCCCATTGGTGGGGGTGGATCGTGGCCCAGACCGGAAACGAATCGGTGACCAGCGAGATGCTGCCGATGAAGACCGCACAGAAAGGGGCTTGCCGGTAGAGGAGCTGAATGCTCGAGATGTTGAGACGCGAGTGGTAGTGCGCCACCCAGACGGTGTACAGCGCGGAGCAGAAGACGCCGCTGAATGCGTAGATAATTCCCAGGGCAGAGGTCGAGTCCATGACCCCCGGGCTTGAAGGGAGGGATCGCTGGCGGGGGAGCAGGTCGGCGTAAGTAACGAGCCCCACGCCGAGACAGGCGGGCACAAGCGCAATAGCCGCGTGAAGAGGGATCTTGGAGTTATAGAAAAAGAGGTTGATGAGCACGGTCAGTGGGGTGAGGAGGATGCGGACGATCTGGTAGCAGACGATCGAGCTGTAGGCCAGTGACAGGTTCATCAGGATGATGTTGGCGCACATGATCAGCGAGAGGGGCAGAATCTTCATCAAGGGGGTTTCTGTGGGCGTGATCTTCAGGATTGAGGCTCGTCGCACAATGTACAGAAGAATGCCGGTGATGGTAAAGTGATATGCGACAAAGCTGAAATGGCACTTGGCGAAGGCAGGATCCGAGAAGATGGACTTGTTGATGTATACCTGGTTCGTCAGCTAATGGCTCTCTCGCTCTCTCCTTTCTCTTCATCGCTGTGTACCTTGAATACGGCATCTCGGTCGGACTGATACTCACAATTGCAACGGTTGCGATAATATTGATGACTATCCAGACCGGTGTGTGCTTGCTTGTCTCCGTCCGCCCGGCATCTTCGGGGCTTGGAGGTGGAGACAGGGCCGCTCCGATCTCAATATGCTTTTCTTTCTCCATAGAAGATATTCGTTCGCGAAGAATAGTATCCCGAGATTGAGGGGTGAAATGGCAGGGTGTCAAAGATAGATTGATGCCAGGCGAATGAGAGGAAACGCGAGTGTGTTATGTTGCCGCATCTACTATGAATTCATCAAGAAAAGCATGAGCCGTGAGGTAATTGACTCCGTATCCGATCGGTGTCTTCTGTGTGATAGGTTTCAAGTTCTGTAATCCATGGGACTTATCTGATGAAACCCACCCCTGAATGTTGGCCGTGCCCTTTTAGTTTCTTTGTCGCAAAAGGAATCTAGACCGGCCAGCCGACCAAAATGTCTTCGTGGGGATCGAAAGCATAATATTCGGACCGTCGGTTCACCCACGAATCAAGTTCTTTTCCTTTCGTATCCGAGCTACATGCTCTGAGCATAGATGATTTCATCATCCAGGTAGGCGATTGAATGCATCTCGAAGGCTTGTCGCCTGTCAATTTTCGTAGGGTAGAATGTAACATCTCCACCACGCACACTCCCTGCTTCTAACTTTGTTAGTCTGGATAACTCGAAGGCTTTCGACTATGACAATGAGCAAGACGATGGGTATGCCTGGGCACATCGAATTGGAGAAGGTGCTATCGACCCTCATAAGATGAAGGATGATGATACGTACTTTATGGTTGCTGAAATTTTCCGGCACCGTGAGCATAAGTCTAGTGTGACCTCCTATTAACAATCTAAATGATTTGACCAAGATATCGATGCTGGTAAATATAAATATGTATGCATTTATCGCAAGCATGGATATTGAAGTAAATGTGAATCATGAAAATAGGGCTACCAGACCTTTCCTCCAAGTATCTAGTTCCGTAGACTTCGGCTTCACATGATGGAGGCCTCTGATCAACTATTAGAATAGTCACATCTCTGGCATCCACGAGAAAGGGAGGAGGTTTTTGGAAATTGAGAAGACATGTACATCATGTGCGACAGAATAAGTAATCAAGCTGTGATTCTTGCTCCCTTCTCCTTTTTCATAAATTTTTCTTCACTTCACATGGCGCCTCAAATTATCTCATAAAAAGACGCCAGGCCGCCATCCAGAAAAGCTTTCCTTCAAAGAACGAGAATGCACAACTACGAGACCATTAATCCTAAAACGTACTTTTGTAGATAGATAGGTCGTTAAAATGGCGATAGATGAGACCAGTAAGCAACGGTTGTGCGGCGGCCACCCAAATGTGGTGGTTGAAACGAGATATGGTATAGAAGCAATGCTAGTCCAAGAAGAGATTGATCAAAAGGAAGGACTTGAGGCTGATCGAAATATGGAATTAGGGAGGAAATTTATTATGGTGCTATTTCCTTGTCACGAGGATCTCGAATAGCAGCCACATTACCTAGAGACCTAGCCTAGAAAGACTAGTATTTTCTCATACCACCTTACCCTTCAGAGCCACTCCACGGGGCCATCCTAGAGTATTTTTTGCTAGCTAGACAGTTCAGCACACCGCATGAAGATATAAAAGAGCATGAATCGAAATCCTCACTAATGATATGACAAACCCGATTTCTACGGGCCCGTTCCCCTCACCGTTGGGCTCGAAAATATTCAGGCTCATTGGAATTCCGCATAGTCCATTTGACAGTCACTGTACTTGCATGAACAGAGTTTTCCTGCCGTATCGCAGTACTCCCCCGTTGCATTTCCCAGCTTGAACCGCATAAGATGGCGATCATAGCCGACTTGTGCGTTGGCTCCCTCGGCTTGCTTTGTCCAATTCATATCTTCTTCCAGATCCGGGACTTAACCCACATATTCCATGCCTTCTAATTCTCGAAGCCATCCATACTTTGCCCATACCAACTCTGACAAAATGTGATGCGTCTTATACTGATGGATGGCAACTTGCACCTCACCGTTCTCGTTCAAAACCTCCCCCCAATCATTGAATCCCACCATAGGCGTCGTCCCCACTGTACCTAGCAAGGCATCTGCATTTGAAACCAGCTCCGATTGACCAACTCCAGCTTGCCTGAGCTCGGTATCCAAGATCCCGGAATAGAAAATGTGGATGTGAGTTGCTTGATCGTTGCATTGGTATTTACTCTTCGTCAACTCTGCAACCATCGTCCGTAAGTAGATCGATATTGCGCGGGAAGTGCCGTACGTAGTTCCCGCACATATTCGGTCCAGTGTGTTATATCTATCTGCGTCCTCGCGGGATAGATATGGTGGATCCAAGGCTCTGGAGCAACCATCGAACCATCGTTGATGCACATTGCATTGTCCGATTTTGAGGCCGCGCCACTCGGCGAAAAGGAGAAGTTCTATGCTTGGGGGTGTGGTCTGGGAGAGAGTGAATGGATTCCTTTGGAAAACGACATCCAAGTCACAGACCAGAACGTTGTCGAAATATTCTCCTGTGTTGTTGTGGAGCACAGCGCTGAGCCCGTGAAATCGGCGGGCAACAACGGGAATGTCTGAATCTGGAAGAGCGCCAACAAATGAGAGGAATGGGTAACGGCTCATTAATATCTGAAATCCTGGCGGTGGGTGGTCCGCAACCTCTGCAGGGACAATAATCTTGACTTCAACGGGTAAAGGCTGACAGGAAGTAGTCGTCATTCCGCCATCTTGCTGTTCGTTTTGGCATCGGGTAATATCACGTGCGTCTCTTCCCAAAGCAACGTCGAGAGATTCCATGAAAATAAAGATCTGGTCTTGCCATTTTGCACCGTCAAGAGCGGACAAGATAAGATTCTTGCGGGGGGAAACCGCATCGGGCGGGATTGATTGCAAACGGGACCGGATTGAACTTGTATTCGGAAAATAATTGAAAATGACGGAGAGGACAGCCAATACAGCCAGAACAACTCTGAAGAATTTCGTATGGAAGATCCGACCAAGTCTTCCCGCAGTTAAGCTTAGGCACCGCATGCTTCGCACCGGACCAGACGGTTGAGTGACACAATCCAGGATCTGGCCCAGATATATAGCGTTATGTCTGAGCTAGATCCCGCCGGAAACGAATAACTTATGAAGTAGGCCCAAGAATGACATCAACGACTTGGCAGAAACAAACAAAAAAGTCTAGAACATGTGATATGTTCTTTCTAGATCGCATTATGGGTTGGTAGATCCCGATGAAACGAGGAGTCATAAAGTCATGCTGATAAGGAAACATTGGCACAGCTTGTCCAAATTCAGGATCTCTGATTACCCGGTTCTCGTGTTCACTGAGGCACGTTGCCTTGGTTGCTTGGATTAGCTTGCTACACACCCCACTACGACACAAACAACATGATGGGAAAAATATACCAAGCAGAATTATAAACGCATATTTCATAGGGGATTTTCGGACTTTTTCCCAACTGGGTAAGTCTAATCCCTGTCACTCAACCTGCAGTCAGCATGGACGATTCGGCCCCAAAGGGACACTGCGTTGCTCACGGAATCTTTTCTCCGGTCACATAGGTACTGTACCTAGTATAGCATGATGTTCAATGCACAGCAAAGGCTACACAATAAGGGTACGGATCAGGGGGTTAGATCACACCTTCTCAGTCTGACACGCCGTTAGACACGTCAAGTCCAGAAGAAATCACATAGAGGAGAGAAACCTTCACAATGAACATTTCTGAGAAGAGAGAAACCAACGCTAAATCAACATAAAAGATATCAACTGATTCTAACGCAACCATCCCCCAAAGGTCATGCCTCCATCTCAATCCCTTCCTCCTTCTTCTCCTTCTTCACACTCCTCCACCCGACCCCCCACGCGAACACAAACTGCGCCACCGACAGCGCCGTCGTCAAATAAAACACCTGATCCACGCTCTTCGCGAACGCGCGCACCACCGCCGGCAAGTCCTCCGACGACACGACCGACCGGAACCCCGTGGCGCCCGCCTGGATGACCCCCGCCGCGTCGACGCCCGCCGCATACCGCGGGATCTCCGTGCGCAGCGCCTGCGCGAAGATCACCTCCGCCACCGCCAGGAAGATCGCGCCGCCGAACGTCTGCGCGCAGGTCATCATCGCCATCGCCGTGGAGACGTCGTCGCCTTGCACCGCGTTCTGGATGGCGATCATTGGCTTTACTTTCTATTAGCTTGGCTTACAATGAGGTTTAGGACAATAGATGGAGAGGGTGAACTTACAACTTGCGAGATCGCGCCGCGCCCGAATCCCACCAGCGCCTGGTATCCCGCCCACTTGGGGACGGAGGTGTGCGGGCCCAGGGTCGAGAGGAGGCCGTTGCCCACGGAGTCGAGGATGGCGCCCAGCACGCCCCAGGGGAGGTAGTAGCCCAGTTTCGAGGCTGGGGGGTTCATTGTTAGCTTTGCTGCGTCGTCCACAGAAGGAGTGAATGATGAAAGGGCTACAGGGGAGGAACGCACTCAAAACCCCCGACACAACCGCCATCACCAACTGACACAGGATATTCGGCAGCAGGTTCACCCCGCTCACCAGCGCGGACTTGCCCCGCACCGACTGGAAGTAGATGGGCAGGTAGTACGACAGTGTCATCGTGAACCCGAAGATCACCATCGACAGCAGGCTGCTACACAGCACGATCTGGTCGCACACCAGGTGGCCGGGGATCATCGCCTCCGCGCCCATGCGCCGCTCCCACAGCGCAAACACCGCGAACGTGACCCCCGACCCGACGAACAGCCCGATCACCGTCGCGCTGTCCCACGCGTAGCTGTTGCCGCCGTACTGCAGGGCCAGCAGCAGCATGATCGACGCCGGCGCGAAGAGCACGAACCCCACCAGGTCGAATTTCTGCAGGAAGAGCGACTGCAGCACGTCCCGCGCCGGGGGTTTGGGTTTCTGGTCTGGGATCCGGGTGAAGAGGAGGAGGGCGCCCACCAACGCGCCGATGGGCAGGTTCATGTAGAAGCCTATTTGGGGGCAGAGTGTCAGTGTATGTTGTGGTTTGCGACGAAAGAATGGATGATCCGAACTTACACCACCGCCAGGTCGAGTAGGTGGTAAACGCACCACCGACTAACGGCCCGCCGACGAGGCCGAGCTGTCCCACTGCGAGTCATCATTAGTCAATTACTCGTATTCTTCCTGCAATAATCAAAACGAAGAGAGAAAGGGATACACACCCCCCATGATCACCCCGATCATCGCCGGCCGCTTCTTGTTCGGCACCGCCCCGGCCAGGATGTTCAGCGCCCCGTTCAGCATCCCCGACGACCCCATCCCGGCCACCGCGCGCCCGATGATCAGCATCTTGGACGAGGTGGCCACCCCGCAGATCAGGGAGCCCAGCTCGAACAGCCCGAAGAAGGAGAGGAAGGTCCACTTCGAGGAGAAGTAGGTGTAGAATTTGCCGGTGAGGGGTTGCAGGGCGGCGCTGTCTCGTGTTGCGGTCGTCAGCGACATTATATAGGGAAGGGTTATTCGTAGGGCATCGAGGGGATTTCCTACCTGGAGATCGTATACGCGCTACCGTACCAGGCCACATCCTCGAGGGAATTGAACTGACTCGTGATCTTGGGAATTGCCTGTTCCCCATCAAAACCATCATGTCAGTATTTCCGCTTTTCGTTTTGAGTGCATCTTCCTCGTGGTTCAAGCAAGGGGGTGATCGGGAATGGCCCACCGTCGACACAATCGACACGTCCAACAACATCAGAAACACGACCAGCGTGATCCCCGCGATCACCATCACCAGCGTCAACCCGTGCACCCATTCCGGCTCGTACTCGTCTTTCGGGTGGATGGGTTTCTTCTCGTCGTGATGCTCCGGCTCCGGCTCCCACGGGGTGGGGTTGGAGCCCAGCAGATGGGGCTGGCTGCTGGTGCTGGTGCTGTCTTGGCTCATCGTGGCGGCGTGAAGGCTTTTCGAGGAACGGGGTTTCTCGAGTGATTGCGCCATGTTGGGCTCTGGGTGATAGAGGAGTATTGAGATGGCACCTAATGGAATTACATGAAGGATAGATGGGAGGGCTTGTTTTAAGTATCGGGGGTCGGAGACGGCGTTGGCAGTTCCCGTCGCCGGACGCCGGGTTGTTTTGGGGTGTGATGGCTGCGCTGGCGCTGTCGAACGCCGGTTCTCCCGCTGCGAATGCCGGTCCTTGCTAGTAGGCAGTCAACGCCGCATCCCTTGTTTGCTGCCACCGGTCGGAGATCTCCCCATTTAGGAATTCACCGAGCAAAGGAGTCGAGCATCGATCCTCTTCAACTACACGTGTTGATTCGACGATGATCCAGGGATAGGATGGCTGGCTGTCCTTTATGGGAAGAACGGAACAGGACGAACCGCCCCGGTCTCCGGCGTGGCTTACAGCGTGGTAAAGGTGCACGAATTGACTGCTTTACTTGAGCTTTCAATAATTGTAAGCCCTAATTCTAGATAATGCTTTGGAAGTCCCTGAGAGAGCCCTAAAGATATCACCCAATGCAAAAGTGGTAAAGGTGAACGAGCGCTTCGGAGATGGAATCGGCGTAATTAATAATCCACTTAGCTGGCCGGGTATCTGAAGCGCTCGACGGCACCAACTTATCCTACAAGTATAAATGAACAAGAGGGACATAGACAAAGACATCATAGCTCGATAGACCGAATGTATACCACTACGACCAAGAAGAAAATCCGCCCGCCCCGTTCCCCTCGGTCAACCACGCCATCTCCGACCAGCTCAGGAAACTATCCAGATCGCCCATCTCCATGCTCGACGCAAACCCCTCCCCACCCCCACCACCGCGATCGACCACCACCCCGGGACACTCGGGCAGCCGCACCGCCCACTCGCTCCGCAGTTTCTGCATCATCATCCCCAGCTTGCTGAACGGATCGCCGAGCGCCCCATCGCTGCGCATCCCGACCGCCGCGGCCACCTGGCTCATGCGCGTGGCGATCTGCTCCGCGACCGCCAGCAGGTCCACCGTGCCTTTCACCGCCGCCTTGTCCCAGCCCGGGTAGTCCAGGGTCGAGAGCCGGAAGAGGGTCACCAGGCAGTGCGACACCTGGGTGAGATAGGGCAGCGCCAGGGAGGTGTATTCCGCCGGAGCGATGGTGAAGAAGAGGTCGAAGAACTGCTTGACCACGTGCAGGCAGGCGTACAGATGGCCGAGTCGCTGGCTGCTCATCTCCTCGTCGGGCGGGGGCTTGACGAGGGCGACCTCGTAGAGGCTGATTTCGGTGTCGTAGAGATGGAATAGGATGGGTTCTGGGTGCCGGTTAGTCTCTGCTGGGCCGGTTCATAGTGGTTCCCGGGAGATTGCACGTACTGTTGTCGGCCAGGGGAAGGGGCATCTCGACTTTGATCGTCTCTAGCCGCGACTCGAATGCCTTGAGATGGAAGGCGGCGAGCGCCTGGGTCGGATGCAGGCCGTACACGCCTTCACTCCAGGGCCCCTGCAGGATCTGGTCTGCGAGGAGTCGCGTGCGCGTGATCTGCACCAGGACGCCGTCACCGGGTGATTCGTCGCTTTGAGCGAGGATGTCGAGACACTCGTTCATGTGCGGCGTCCATCGCAGCGGGTCCATTCGCCCGAGAAACTGCGCGATTCTGTGCTGGTCAGTCACTCGGCCAGTGTTCCAGTGCGGTGGAACGTACATGGAAGTCAGCACAAAGCAGCTCAAGACTGCGCGGCGTTCGTTCATCGTGCGGCGCGTCGAGATAGACGCTTTCAGCCCTGGCATATGGCCCACGGCATTGCTGTTGGAGACGGTCATGCTCAGGTCTGGCGGCGCGGGCTTGTTGAGTCCCAGCTCAAAGACCAGGCCGATCGCCATCTGGGCATAGATGCATAGCGATGACTTTTGCGGCTGGCTGTGGAACGTGACCCTGCAGTCGGTCAGCGATGGACTTACACAGACCCCGGAGGAAAGAGATACCAGGCGAGATAGACCAGGACCCCCTGCAACAAGTCCAGGGACTTATCGCAGTCGACCAACAGGCGTTTGCCCGCCAGCTCGCGGATGGTGACACACAAGGCGGCTTGCCGGGCGGCATGCTTACTCTCCACCGCAGTGATACACCGCCACAGGAACGGGGACTGGTGTTTCAGGTCTTGCGCAGTAGTTGTGGCGGGGATGTGTATCAAGGGGAGGAATTGCAGTCGATGTGTACGGAAGGCATGCAGAGCCTCTTCTTCCTCTGCTGGCGTGTCGACGAGGTCTTCTCGTTCGGGGGAGGATGTTTCGGCCTCAGGCTCTAAGGGAGGGTCTGCGGGGAGCGGAGTCGGCGTCTGCAGTCCGGTCCGACCGGCGGCACCGGAGGAGGTCAGCAGCATCATCAGCCCATCCATTTTCCGTTCCAGCTGGACCGTCTTGGACAGAGGACGCGTCTTGCGACGGCCCTCGGGGATGCGACATTCTTTGTTGAGTCGGTGGCATCTGCGGTGTTTGAATCATCTTGTCAATGGTGATTGTTGATATTGTTGATGTTGCTGTCAACTGGACGGACTTTTGACCCACCTTTCACAGCGGCCGCCCGCACTCCGGGGTACGCATCGACACTTGGCACGAGCACAGGTGGCACACGCATTGCCATAGGGTAAGGGGGAGCGTATGGCGGATTCCATCATGAGACGCAGATCTTGCTGGGCTCACATAACATGGAAAGGGAAAGGGGCAAAGAAAGAGGAAGCGGAGGAGGGGGAGGAATAGGAGGGAGAAGTGGAAATGGAGAGGGAGCGGACACGGCGTTGGGGCAACCCCGGTTGACACGTGACCTTTCCTGCCTACCCGACATATTACAGATTAATTCACAGAGTCAACTTACAGATTGATTTGATTTGAGTCATATGATCTGAAAATACTGTTCGACTATCCCATTCTATCTCTCTGACCACTCTGCAGGTAGTTTGTTGAGTGTTTGGCTGACTCCGGCCACTCCATCTGGATACAGTCCTGCCTGTACTGTACATCTACTGTACATGCAGCCTCACATAGATTTACGCTTACCATCCAACCTTATCATGCCCTCTCACCACACCTATCAAGAGAAGAGCAGTCCAGTAGCCAACTCAATCCCTTAACGGACAAGTCAGCCATCTCCGCTCCTTTCTTCAAGATCTCCGACCGTAATAAGTCTACTATTGGTGGTGAGTCCGAAGGATGCGGCCCCCAGCGCTGGGCGACCGGAGTCTAGCCTTGGAGCCTTACAGCCTTAGGGCTGGCTCCCACCCGTTTCTTCTGCTATAGAAAAACTTCCCCTGCAGCACCTGCTCAATGCTCAACCCACCTTATCGTGCATCCATCGCCTGAGTTTATCCCCTCGAGAATGTCGGAGACCCACGACTCATCCTCCACCGCCTCCAGCCTGGAGAAGGGCCCGCAGCCCTCTCACCCTGGCGACGCCGGCGACTCGGAAACCAGTCACTCGGTGGAAGATACCAGCCCGGCTGCTGCGTCGCCCCCTAAGAAGCAGGGAACCAAGGCCTGGTTGGCACTGACTGGTGGTGTTCTGGGCATGTTCGCCTCCTTTGGCTGGGTCAACTGTGTTGCGGTCTTCCAGGCTGAGTATGAGCTGAACCAGCTGCGTGACTATTCCAGTTCGCAGGTGTCCTGGATCTCTTCGGTGCTCTGTATGTTGTTGGCCTTCAATTCTCACAAACGCATCCTCTCTAACAGGCTTCAGTCTTCTTCATGCTCGGATTCTCCCCGGTGGCCGGCCGACTGTACGACGGCCATGGTCCGCGTCTCCCCATCGTCATCGGCACCTTCCTGCACGTCTTCGGCCTCATGATGGCCAGCCTGTCCACCAAATACTACCAATTCATCCTCAGCCAGTCCGTGTGCTCCGGACTCGGCACCTCGCTGATCATCACCCCATCCATGACCGCCGTAAGTGGCCCAGTCCAGCCTCTGCCCTCTGATCCCGCCACCACCCAACTCATACTTCTTCCAAGCCCATGACCTACTTCCACGACCGCCGCGCCCTGGCCGGAGGATTCGCCATCGCCGGCTCCTCGCTGGGCGGCGTCATCTTCCCCTTCATGGTCAACCACCTGCTCTCGTCGATCGGGTTCGCCTGGACGATGCGCGCCTGCGCGTTCCTGATCTTTGGCCTGTTGCTCGTCACCTGCACGCTCATCTCGTCCAACGCCACCCACAGCCCCAAGGAGTTCAAGCTCAGCCACTACCTGCGGCCATTGAAGGAGGTCAACTTCCTCCTGATGTGCATCGCCAGCTTCTTCATGTACTGTACGTTTTCCCCAATACCATCCGAAGATCAGGCAACAGATGAAACTGACAACCCAAAAAGGGGGCATGTTCGTCCCCTACGTGTTCATGGTAATCTCCTCCATCCACTACGGCATGTCCGTGACAATGGGCTACAATCTGATCCCCATCCAAAATGGCGTAAGGTATGCTGCAGCCAGCCCCTCGAACCCCCTTGCCCACCAAACAAAAAAGCTAATACACTTGAGAAAGCTTCTTCGGCCGCACCGTCCCCCAGATCTGGGCCCGCAAGTACGGCCAATTCAACGTCTTCATCCTGGCGATGGTCGCCTCGATCGTCGTCGTGCTCGCCTCCTGGCTCCCCTCGCGCGGCAACGCCGCCATCATCGTCTTCACCGTCCTGTTCGGGTTTGTGTCGGGCACCACCATCGGCCTGGGCCCCATGCTCGTCATGGCGCTGTCCCCGCCCACGGAGATCGGGTACCGGGTCGGCACGGTGTTCGCGGTGGCCGGGTTGGGGGCGCTGACGAGTCCCCCCATCGCGGGCGTGTTGATCACCCGGAATGGCGGGGATTATGTGTACGCGGCGGTGTTTAGTGGGGTGGCGTATGCGGTGTCGACGGTGGTGATGGTTATTCTGAGGGTGAGGATTGGGGGGTGGGGGTTCTTGTCGAAGGTTTAGTTAGGGGTGGTTTTGGGGATTTTGGGGAGGGGGTTGGTTTGGGGCTTGGGCGACGGGGGAGGAGGAAGAAGTAGAGTTGGGGTTTTGAGGTTTATGTCTTCTTACATTCGGGAATTTATACAAAAAGGTTAGATTATGCTTTATCTCATATCAGGGTGAATCGAAAACTAAAGTTCCAGGTGCAAATGCGCGTATGGTGAGATTCTACAATAACTTACAATATACTGAGCGACAGATGCAAAGGGCAAATGTCCCACACTGCCCTTAGATCTACTGTACTGTACAGTAGTATGTCATCATACACTGATACATTGACTATAGACTGTTCACTACCTCTACTCGCCCCCCCCGAACTACAAATTGGACACACGTTAGAACAGAACAGATACTATTCCCCTCCGAACCTACCAAACTAGCTACAACAAACAAAAAAACCATGACAAACTCCAACCATAAACCAAACCCCCAACTAAGCACACCCCCAAAGAGGATAAACCAACTTAAACCCCGAGGCCTGACCCCTGCGCACCGCATCAATGCCGCCAATCACCCCGCGCAACCCGCCGGACTCCTCCTGCACGGGGTGCGTGACCAGCCCTCCCTCCGCCAGAACCGCCTCCATCTCCGCGTACCACCGCTCCGCCGCGGCGCGGTCGGCCGGCCTGGCCAGGAGGTTGTACGGCGCCTCCCAGCCGACGATCTCGCGCCCGAACTGCGTGAACAGGAACACCCACTCCGGGCGCACGCTGCGGCGTGTGTGCCGGCTCAGCGGGAACGGGTCCAGCGAGACGTACTTGCCGCCCGCGCGGCCGATCGCCTCGTAGCAGATCTGCATCGACTCCGTCGTGCTGATGCAGTCCAGCGCGAAGGCCAGCGTGTTGGCCGTGTGGTCGCGCAGGTCCGACCCGCAGGTCGGCGACCGGTAGTCGAAGGTCGCCGCCGCGCCGAGTTGCTGCAGCCGCGGGAAGTTGTGCGGGGAGCTTGTGGTTAGTGGAGTGAAGCCGGAGCTGTGGGCATTTGAGCAGATGTTAGTTGCGCTGGGATGCTTTATTTTTTTTCATTTTTTTTTCATTTTTTTTTGCGTTCTATGACATGTCAGGTTGGCTTACCGGCGTAGCACTTGGATGGCCAGCGTCCCTGTCGCGGTCCCTCCGCCGTATACCAGGACATACGTCGGAGTCCTTTTTGCGGCAATACTCTCCGACTCGGATGCCCCGGCGCCCACCAGCGGCAGGCCGAGGGTCTGGTACAGCGCCAATCCGGTGGTCGCCAGCCCGCAGCCCAGCGTCGCCGCCTGCTGGAAGCTCATCGAGTCCGGGATGCAGAGCACCAGCGCCGCGGGCACCGCCACGTACTCGGCGAAGGCGCCGTTGTCGTGCTGGCCCGCGTTGTTGCCGAACACGCAGCCGCACACGCGCGTGCCCAGAGCCAGCCGCGACGACGAGAAAGCGGACGAGGTGACCCCCTCGCCGAGGGCCACGATCTCGCCCGCAAAATCTAGCCCGGCGGTGGCACCGGGGCTGGGCGATATGTCGGCGGATTTGGCGTCGTAAGGGTTCAGTCCGACACAGGCGACCCGCACCAGCACCTCGTCGGCGCCCAGCTGGGGTAAGGGCTGGCTGGTCTGCAGCTCGATGCTGCCGGGACCGGCTATCTTCAGTGCCTGTTGGGTAGTCGGTAACTCGCTCATGGTGATGATGTGAGTGGAGAGGATGTGGGCGTGGGTTGAGGCTATGGCTGTGGCTGTGGCTGTCTTCGCGAGCTGTCGACGCCTGGAGACTAGTGGACTGGATATGTGTGAGGTCTGGTCTTGTTTATGACAGGATGGCTATTGCTGTGATGAAACTGATTCCAATTGTCTCTATCCTTGTGGAATTTCCGATGAGTATAGCGCCGCGAACTGATTGGCGGGCGGGGTCCGGCGGGCGGACGGACTTAGGGCTGACGCCGGAGTTGCTGCTTACTTTCCACAGCCATTGTCCGGAGGATGCATCAGGAGAGGGTTCGGAGATCAATGCAGTAACCAACACAGAAAAACAGTACATACGTTATCTACTGACATGATCCACGTTCGCCGAATGGTGCCCTTCCCCTGTCTCAAGTGAATCGTTAATTCCTTAGAGCCACAGACAATCCTAGCCCGTCAAACTCCAACATGGCAACCAGCGCTTTCTTGCAGCAATTCCAGACGGACGAAGCCAAGAGCCAGTATGTCAGTGCAGTGGCTGGTTCGGCGCTCGTCTTCGCCAGTGCCTTCGTATTGAACGCTATGAGACGACCAAAAGAATTTACCACCGACGAGGGCAAGCGCATCGCCGAGCTTCCCGCTGACGTGCGCATGTCCAAGTTCGTTCGCAGGTGAGGATCCCCCATGAGCATTTCTTACACCAGTGACTACTGATCGGGCTCACTGACAACCTCAAGCCGGGAATTGTCTGAACAAGGCGAGGCTCTCGCCGGTACCGAGCCGTATCTCATCCGCAGCGGGCCCTACCACGAACTGGTGATCAGCCAGCCCGACCAAGTCCACGAGTTCTACCGCAGCGACAGCAAGAGCCACACCAAGCCCCGCAATCTGAACCTGGGCGAGCCCTTCGGCCGCTTCCTGGGCCCCTGTGTCGGCGTGCAGTACGGCGACCACTGGCGGGCGATCCGCAAGCACTTCGACCCGCCCTTCGCCTTCCATCCGGTCGCCCAGCGGATCCCCCGGTTCCAGCGGGAGATCGAGGCCTGGCTGGAGAGCAAGGCCCCCACGGCGACCAGCGAGCTCGACAGCAAAGTCGATTTCCGGTTCTTGGTCTTCAAGCTGCTCTCGCTGCACCTGTATGAAGATGCTTTCGATGACCGAGTGCGTTTACCATATTGCATTGAGATGGCAGATCGGGAACTGACAAGATACGACTAGTCCTACTGGACGCTGCTGGAGCTGAACGACCAGCACGACGCCATCATGATGGACATGCTGGTCAGCAAGCACCCGGACTCCAAGCTCTACAATCTGCTGCCCAGCGCCCCGCGCAAGCGACTGCAGGAATTCCACAGCCGGTGGCAGGAGTTCAACCGGCTGATCGTCGAGAACGCCCGTGTCGTAAGCACTCTCATCAACCTCCCAAATGCCAGTACTAATATCACCTCCAGGGCGGCTGGGCGTGTCCCGTTGAGACAATCTACCGCGGCGTGGAGCCAGACAAAGACTTCACCGAAGACGCCGTACGTGCACCCCCGAGACCCCTACAAACTCAACACTGGAGTCCATACTGACCCCGGCACAGTTCCTCGCAACCCTCACCGAGATCCTCTTCGCCAACGTCAATATCAGCGCCGAGGTCTTCCGCACCATCTTCACCAACCTCGCCACGAGCCCCCGCATCCAGACGTCACTCCGGCAGGAGATCCGGGAGTGGAAGGCGAAGCCCGACTTCGATCTGTCCAAGTACCTCGCGAAGCAGGATACCTTGCTCAACCGCGTGCTGATGGAGAGCATGCGCATCTCGCCTGCTTTCTGTGGGTTCCCCCGGGCCCCACTGTTCCATCTTACTTCCGAGGGGAAAACTGCATTGCTAACCTCATTCTGAATATAGGGTTCTCCATGCCCGAAACCACGGCGGAGCCCAAGAAGATTAGTGGGTACAACATCCCCGCCGGCACGCCGGTGGTGATCGACACGCGTCGCCTGAACAACGGGGCCGCTACTTGGGGTCTTACTGGTGTGGACCGGTTCGACCCCGATCGGTTTCTGAAGGTGGCCAGCCAGGACCTGCGCTGTGGGTTCATGCGGTTTGGGACGGGGGCGGCATCCGGACGGTGTTTGGGGAAGAATGTCGCGGATGCGGTGTTCAAGCTGACGGTGATGGAAGTGCTCGAGCGGTTCCGGCTGGAGAGCGTGAGTGAGAGTGCCAAGGAGGGGCGGTCGGTGGATGTCCGGTTGGTGGCGTTGAAGTAAGACGGTTGACGCGTTGTGCATTGCTGTAGTTGGTTTATTGTTTTAGATTCTGCGTTGGTGTGCTGGGTTGAATTCGATTATGGGCTTTGTTCGTCTCTGAAATCTATGGTGTGTTTTCTTGAACTCTGCGAGATTACAGTATTCAACCTCGTGATCCGGGTGGATTGGCTATTGGGTACATTGTGAAGACAGCTTAATACAGTATCGTGATCAAGATATAAGGAAGAAACGGTTTTTCGATTGGAGAGGAACGAAGTGGACTGACCCTACTACTCCATTGCACACCTTGGGGGTTTACGAGCATACTACCTGTCCGGATGCGATAGAAAATTCTAAACCACGTTTTTTTCTTCATTCGAAACGAACACTAACCAGCTAAGGAGTAGCTACATTCAATCTCATCCCGGACAAGACTAGCAGGGATCGGAGTACGCCTGTCTGCCTGCATGCACGCGGCCTGCGCCTCCGGCCTCCGCTCTGCATTTCCCCTTCACGGCCCCCCCCCTAACCCCTACTTGTGCAACGCAACCAACACCCCCGTCTTATTCGACGGTCCAATGCGCATGACCGAGACAAACGGATTCTCATCGCGCGGCTCAATGCGACTGTACACCTGCGCCAACCGGGCCAGGATATACGCCGTCTCCGTCTGGACCATCATCTGGGCCGGACAGCGGCGGGGCCCGCCGCCGAAGGGCACAAACTCCCAGAAATGGGCCTGATCGACGAAGCGCTCCGGCTTGAAGGCGTCGACATTCTCCCCGAAGTAGAGGGGGTCCTTCTGCATGACCGTCTTCGTGACCTGGACGACATCGCCCTTCCGAATCAGGATGGGCGACTTGCCGTCGGGCCCGCCCCCGAGCGGCAGGGTGGTGTCATTGATGCACATGCGCACCTGCGACACGTTGTTGGGGTTGAGCCGGTGCGTCTCGTTGATGCACGCGTTGAGGTACTTCATGCCCCGCAGCGCCTCGAAGGTGAGCGGCGCGTCGCCGTGGGCCAGCACCTCCGCGCGCACTTTCGCCCACGCCTCCGGGTTCCGCGCCAGGTGCCACACCACGTTGCCCGTGAAGATCGAGGTCGTGTCGTTGTTGGGCACGAAGAGCAGCGACAGCTGCGATCGGAGTTCCGCCCGCTCCGGGCAGTGCTTCGCCATGTACCACAGCAGATCCAGCCGCTCGGGGCCCACCTCCTCCCCCGCCGCGATCCGCCGCTCCCGCTCCGCGATGTCCGCGTACACCCGGTCCAGGTGCTCATCCATGTACGCGTGCACGATCTTGATCGCCCGCAGCCACCACGACCAGTCGATCAGGTTCATCACCTTGTACATCTGGAGTCGTAGTCGGTTGCCCCGCAGCACGTCCAGCATCGCCCAGGTCACCCGTGCGCGCTCGGGGTGCGTCAATGCGTCCATGGGCGCGCCGAAGATGAAGTTGGTGGTCACGTCGAGGAACTGGGTGGGTTGTTAGTTGATTGCACATGAACTAACAGAGAAGGGAGGGGGGGGCCTCACCCATCGCTGCAGGTAGGGCTGGATGTTGACCGTCTCTCCGTCCGGAGGGAGAATGCGCAGGAGATGGTCCGTGTAGGAGCGCAGCCGCTCGGTGTCGGCGTAGACCTCGCGCATGAAGAAGGGCTTGATTAGCGCGCGGCTGAAGACCCAGTCCTCGCCGTCGACGACGTTGACGCCGCGGTTGGCGAACGCGGCGCCGGCATTCTTGTAGCGACGGAGCGGGCTGATGGCGAAGTCCTTCCAGTTGATGGCCGTCAGGGACTTGAGGTTCTCGGGCTCGATCGTGTAGACGACCCGCGTGCCCATGAAGGTGATCTGGAAGGTCTTGGGCTGGCCCTTGTGCAGCTCGCTGAGCCAGGGGATGAAGTAGTGGCCCCGCAGCGCCTGCCACTGCGTCCACACCAGATCCACGCCCCAGAACGGCTCCCACTGGAACCGCGAGGGAACCGACTTGCAGCCCCAGGACCGCTGCTTGCGCAGGTCGCTCGCGCGCCGGACAAAGGACCGGAACAGAAGCGCCAGGAAGCCAGAACAAAGGAGCAGAATGGGCAGGCTCTGCACCGGGAGGTTGTGGTACTGCACCAACATGATGGAAGAATCGTGTTGTTGCTGTTTTTTGCACGGTAGAAAATGAAACCGAAATTTTAGCCAAGCAGGTTGGCAGTAGCATTTAATTAATTGAAAGGCCGGATCATTTCATATATCTATCTATTGCCAGTCAGCCCGAACTCAAGGCAAGGTCAGTCCGGAGTTGCTTGGCGGGCATCTCCGGGGCGGATGGAATCTGACCGGACATCAGCACCGCAACCACCGGACTTCTGAAACTCACCTCCAGCCCTAATGGATCTCCTGTCCATGCGCCTTTCCGACACCACACCGCAGGCTTCAGCCTTGTCCGACGGTCCCATCGGGTGTATTTTCATTGGATGCGCTTCTCCGCGTGGCAGACAGGGTTCAGTCCGCGTGGACGTCCGCTCCGGCGGGTCTGAAGAGGAGGCTGGGGCTAGGGCTTGGATATGTCTCCGTATACTACACATCGTCGACGTATACATACGCTCTACGATCGCACCACTTGACAACTCCTCATCATCTGATCATTTGTACATCTCTCCCTCAACTTCAACAGAATTCAGGACGACTTGCCGCGGATAGCAGTGACTCGCTATTCCCACACACACTCCCCACTCTTTCAACAACAACCACAACCAAAAATGCCTTCCTCCGTTCCTGAACCCATCGCCATCGTCGGCTCCTCCTGTCGGTTTCCCGGCTCGGCCTCCTCCCCCTCCAAGCTTTGGGACCTCCTCCGCCAGCCCCGAGACGTGCGGCGAGAGCTGAACGCCCAGAACCTCAACCTCCAGCGCTTCTACCACCCGTCCGGGGACACCCATGGCTCGACCGACGTCAAGGGCCAGGGCTACCTGCTGGCCGAAGACAGCCGGCTCTTCGACCCGGCCTTCTTCGGCATCAGCCCCTTCGAGGCCGACACCATCGACCCGCAACAGCGCATCCTGCTGGAAGCCGTCTACGAGACCTTCGAGAGCGCCGGCTACACGCTGACCCAGATGCGCGGGTCGCAGACCTCGGTGCATGTCGGCGTGATGACCGACGACTACCACGACATCCAGGTGCGCGACCTCGAGAGCATCCCGCAATACACTAGCACGGGGACCTCGCGGAGTATCCTGGCGAACCGGATCTCGTACGTGTTCGACCTGCACGGGCCCTCGGTCACCGTCGACACCGCCTGCTCCAGCTCGCTGGTCGCCCTGCACCAGGCGGTCCAGAGTCTGCAGCTCGGGGAGGTCAGCTGTGCGGTGGTGGGCGGGGTTAACCTGATCTTCGACGCCGTCATGTACGTTGCCGAGTCGAAGCTGCACATGCTCTCCCCGGACTCGCAGTCGCGCATGTGGGACAAGACCGCCAACGGCTATGCGCGCGGAGAGGGCGCCGCCGCCATCCTGCTGAAGCCGCTCAGCCAGGCCATCCGCGACAATGATCACATCGAGGGCTTGATCCGGGGCAGTGGGATCAACTCCGACGGCCAGAGCCAGGGTATCACTATGCCTACATCGGCGGCCCAGGCGGCCCTCATTCGGAGCACATACGAGCGGGCCGGCCTCGACCCCATCAGGGATCGGTGTCAGTACTTCGAGTGTCACGGCACGGGCACCGCCGCGGGTGACCCCGTCGAGGCGCAAGCGATAAGTGAGGCCCTCCTCGGGGAGGATGCCTCCACCGGCGTGATAATAGGCGACGAGAATTCGCCCCTTTATGTCGGCTCAATCAAGACCGTTACTGGTCACCTGGAAGGGTGTGCCGGTCTGGCCGGTGTCCTGAAGGCGCTGGTCTCCATCAAGCATCGCACCATCCCGCCCAACATGCTCTTCAATGAGCTGAACCCCAAGATTGAGCCGTACTACGGTCCCATGCAGATCGCGACCGCGCCCGTCCCCTGGCCCAAGCTCGCTCCGGGGGTGCCTCTTCGCGTGAGCGTCAACAGCTTCGGGTTCGGCGGTACCAATGCCCACGTTATCCTGGATAGCTACGAGACTCCAGAACAGGAACCCATTGAACCCGTCGCTGAAGGCAGTGCGCCACTCGGCCCCATCGTGCTCTCCGCTCACTCCGGCGCCTCACTCTTGGGCAACGCCGAGGGACTCCTGCAGTACCTGCAGGACAACCCGTCGGTGGACTTGTCGGATCTCAGCTACGTGCTGCAGACCCGCCGAACGGCGCACCGGGCGCGGGCTTTTTTCTCCTCGTCCTCACATCAGGGCTTGGTCAGCGGCCTGCAGAAGTTCATCACCGACAACCAGAAAGTGGCGAAGAAGGACACCATCGGGATCCGCCACCAGGCCATCAACCCCAGCGAGACGCCCGGCATTCTGGGCGTGTTCACAGGCCAAGGCGCCCAGTGGCCCGGCATGGGCCGCATGCTGCTCGATCACTCCCCGTTGTTCCGGGAGGTGCTCGACAGGTGCGATGCCGTGCTGCAGGCGCTGCCCGACCCTCCCGAGTGGCTCCTCGTGGACGAGCTGCGCAAGGATGCCGATACCTCCCGCGTCGGCGAAGCCGCCGTCTCCCAGCCAGTGTGCACAGCCATCCAACTCGGTCTCCTAGAGGTACTGTTCGCCAGCGGGATCGATTTCGACGCCGTGGTCGGCCACTCGTCCGGCGAGATTGCGGCCGTCTACGCCTGTGGCATCATCTCCCTGGACGCGGCGATGCAGATTGCCTTCTACCGCGGCAAATACGCGGGTCTGGCACAGGGGCCGAACGGGGAGCGCGGCGCGATGATGGCCGTAGGGATCAGCTATAACGAGGCGCAGCGGCTCTGCAGGCAGCCCGAGTACCAGGGCCGGATTAGCGTGGCAGCCAGCAACGGCGTCCAGAGCGTCACACTGTCCGGGGACAGCGATGCCATCCAGCAGGCCAAGGAGCACTTCGACCGCGAGAACGTGTTCGCACGCCAGCTGAAGGTCGACACCGCCTACCACTCGCACCACATGCAGCGATGCGCCGGCCCCTACCTCCAGTCTCTCGAGGCCTGCGACATCCAGGTCCGCCGCCCGCGCGACGGCTGCTTCTGGAACTCCAGCGTCCGCGGCGACACCGAGCTGCTGCGGGGAGACCTCCAGTCCCTCAAGGGACCCTACTGGGTTCAGAACATGGTGCAGACGGTGCTGTTCTCGCAGGCGGTGCGCTCCTCGATCTGGCACGGGGGCCCGTTCGATCTGGCCATCGAAGTCGGGCCGCATCCTGCGCTGAAGGGCCCCACGGAGCAGACCCTGGAGTCCGCCTTCGGCACCGCTCCCTCCTATACCGGTGTTCTCAAGCGTGGCGCCAGAGATGTCGAGGCGCTGTTCGACGCGATCGGCTTTACCTGGGCCCATCTGGGACCGCAGTTTGTCAGCTTCGCGGGTCTCCGACGCGCCTTGGTGCCGGAAGGCAGTCGACGCTCCCCCAGGCTCCTGAAGGACCTCCCGTCGTACTCCTGGGACCACGACCGGGTCTACTGGCGGGAATCTCGCATCTCGGCGCGATTCCGTAAGGGGACTGATGTGTTCCACGAGCTGCTGGGCCGCCGCACGCCCGACGACACCGACCGGGAGCTGCGCTGGCGCAACGTCCTCAAGCTCAGCGAGCTGCCGTGGGTCAAGGGCCACGAGATCATGGGCGAGCCCTTGTTGCCCGGTGCCTCGTACGTGGCGCTGGCGTTCCAGGCCGGGCAGGCGATCGCGGCCGGCAGAGCCGTGCAGTTGATGGAGGTGCAGGACGTGGAGATCCGGCGGCCCATTGTGGTGCCGGACTCGCGCGAGGGCCAGGACACGATCTTCACGGTGCGGCTGCTGGAGAGCGGCGACCCCAAGGTCATCGAGGGACATTTCTCCTACTGCTACTGCTCGGACCCCAGCACAGGCGCCATGGTCCACACCTGTGAGGGCCGCTTGATCATTCACCTCGGCGAGGCTGAGGGCGACGAGCTGCCTCCCAGCGCCCCGGCGCCGCCCAACTTGCTCCCCGTCGACAGCGAGGAAGGCTACGAGGTGCTGGCGCAGGCAGGTCTGAACTACACGGGCATCTTCCATCGCCTGCAGGACGTCGCACGCCGGCTGGACTTCGCCGAGGCCAAGGCCGAGTGGTCGGCCGAGGAGCTGCGCGGGGGATACGTCGTCCACCCTGCGTTGCTGGATGTGTCCTTCCAGAACCTGTTCCACGCCCGCGCGGACCCCAGTGCCGGGAAGCTGCCGACCAGCGTGTTGCCCGTGCATATCAAACGCGTGGCCGTGAACCCAAGGATCACCCTTGGGGCGGAGGCCGGCACCATCCGCACGGTGACCCAGTCGTTCATCACGGCCCGCAACGGCCTGTCGCTCAGCGGTGACATCCATATCTACGATGGGGTGACCGGAGAAGCAGCGCTGCAGGTGGAGGCCCTCTCGGTGAAGCCCATCGCGCCGCCGACGGCCGAGCAGGACCGCCGGCTCTTCTTCGACACCGTCTTCATGGCCGACCCGTCGCTCTCGCTGCTCGAGCCGCTGCGTGACCCCGGCGACGTCGAGCGCGATACCGCCCTCGTGGCCGACATCGATCGCGCCGTGCTCTACTACGTGCAGCGGGTGCTGGAGCAGGTGGACCCCAGCGAGGTGGCCGGGCTCTCGTGGTATTTCCAGCGCATGCTGGACTGCTTCCAGCACTGGGTGCAGGTGGTCCGCGAGGATTCTCACCCGCTGGCCCAGAGCGGCTGGCTCGACGACCGGATCGAGGTCATCGAGGAGATCTTCAACCGCTGGCCCGGCCAGATTGATATCGAGATCGTGCGCGCCGTGGGCGAGAACCTCATGGACGTGCTGCATGGCAAGACCCAGATGCTGGAGGTCCTGATGAAGGATGACCGCTTCGGCCGCATGTACTACGAGGGCTGCGGTTTCGCCGTCGTCAATGCCGGCATGCGCAACGTCCTGCAGCAGATCTCCAACAAGTATCCCCAGGCCAACTACCTGGAGATTGGTGCTGGAACGGGTTCCACGGTAAGGAGCTTTCTGTGTTCTATACTTCCCGCGTGTTCCATTGCTAATAACTGTCTTATAGTCTCACGCCATCCTGCAATCCATCGGGAAGAGCTTCGACACCTACACCTACACCGACATCTCCACCGGTTTCTTCGAGAACGCGGCCAAGCGCTTCTCGGAGTTCGCCAGCAAGATGGTCTTCAAGACGCTGGACGTGGAGAAAGACGTGGTCCCGCAGGGGTATGCCTTGCACTCCTACGACGTGGTCGTCGCCTCCAACGTTCTGCACGCCACGGGCAGCATGGAGGTCACTCTCGCTCACGCCCGATCGTTGCTCAAGCCTGGTGGTTTCCTGCTGCTGGTGGAGATCACCGGCATCGAGATCATGCGCATCGGCTTCTGTATGGCCGGCTTGCCCGGCTGGTGGCTGGGCGCGAAGGAAGGCCGCCGCTTCCACCCCGGCATGACCACCGAGGACTGGGATCGCACCCTGCAGGATACCGGCTACTCGGGCGTGGACCTAGTCTACCACGACCTGCCAGATGCCGAGAAGCACTGCATGTCTTTCATGGTCAGCCAGGCGGTCGACGAGACCGTGCTGCAGCTGCGTGAACCACTGGGGTACATCAACAGTGTGCCCCAGACCGACTCGCTGCTCGTCATCGGCGGCCACACCCTCCCGGTCTCGAAGCTCACAACCGCCCTTCAACGCCAAGTCGGACCCTCCTGGCGCAGCCGCGTGGTGGTTGCCCGCGATCTCGAGGCCGTGGATTTCTCCCGTCTCTCGTCGCGCATGGATGTGGTGTGTTTGCAGGAGCTGGACGCCCCGCTGTTCGCCGCGCCTATCTCCCAGAAGAAGCTCAAGGCCCTGCAGGCGATTTTCTTGCGCGCGCGTAACGTCCTCTGGGTTACCAAGAGCCGCCGAGCGGAGAACCCCTATCAGAACATGTTTTTGGGAATGTCACGCGCTATCTGCAAGGAGCTGCCGCAGGTGTCCATCCAGTCCTTGGATTTGGAGTCGATCACCAATACCAATCTCTCCGCGCGGACGGTCCTGGAAGCCTTCGTGCGGATGAAGATCCTGTCGGCAGTGGACGAGCAAACGCCCCTGCTTTGGACACGTGAGCAGGAGCTGGTCATCGATGGGGACGAGACCCTGATCGCCCGTCTGCGTCCCAACCAGGAGCTGAACGACCGGTACAATGCGCGCTACCGCACGGTCACGAAGCCTCCGTCCGGCTCCGATGCGACGATCCGCCTCGTCCAACAGGGTGACAAGCTGGCCTTGATCGAAGCGGACAATCGTGGTCTCGCTGATGCTGCTCAGGATGTGAGGGTGAAGGCAGCTTTCTCGCTGACAGTTCCTGGCGGTAACAAGCAGGAGACGCTCTACCTCACGGTTGGACACCAAGTTGACGTGGGAACCCCGGTGCTGGCCATCTCGCGTCTTGATGCTTCTGTTGTGAGCGTGCCGCAGGTGGATGTCATCCCGATTGACGAGACGGCTTGCGACGCACTTGTCCTCGAGAGACTGAGCGACCAGATTTTCGCCGATGCGCTGTTGAGCGCCGTCCCCGCTGGGCAGTCCGTCACTTTCTACCAGCCTCGGCGTGGTCTGGCTGCTGTCATTGCTGCTACGGCTGAGCAGCGCGCGATCGAGGTGTTCTTTGTGTGCTCATCCACTACAGACGCAGAGGCTCGCAGTGAATGGATCCGGATCCACCCCCACAGTTCTTCACGAGTCATTCAAAGCCTGGTTCCTCGCCAGGACTCGATCTTCGTGAATTGCTCGGGCTCCACGGACTATCTCGGATCCAGTATCCAGTCCGCGCTATCATCTCCTTGGGCAGTTCCAAATCTGGACAGTGGAGTGTTCCAGAAGGGGCTCAATCTCCTGCGAGCTGACGGCTCACTTGCTGCAGGATACGCCGCTCTGCAAGACCGTCTCTTCACGTTGAATGCAGAATTGCCGGTGTCAGGTGAAATCACTCTTCTGAACGTCGATCAGCTGGCACGCGTTGATGCTTCGATTCTGCAAACCACACACATCACCTCGTGGACTAAGGCAACTGACTCTCTGAACCTGGTCGTCCAGCCTCCCGACCTGACTACTCTGTTCGATCCCACCAAAACATACCTGATGGTCGGCATGGCCGGTGGGCTCGGCCTGTCGATCTGTGAGTGGGCCCTGAAGCACGGCGTGAAGCACATGGTCATCACCAGTCGAAACCCGAACATCCATACCCGCTGGCTGGCGGATGCACGTCACAAGGGAGCCAACGTGCATGTCGAGTCGATGGATGTCACGGACCGGGCGTCGGTGCAGTCCACGGTGCGCCGGATCAAAGATACCCTGCCCCCCATTGCTGGTGTCTGCAACGCGGCCATGGTGCTGACTGATCGCATGTTCGTCAACATGGACGCGGACGCGGTCAATCGCGTTCTAAAGCCAAAGGTGGACGGCTCCAAGCACCTGGACGAGGTGTTTGCCGACACGCCCTTGGACTTCTTCGTTCTCCTGTCCTCTTGCGGTGCAACCATCGGCACCCAGGGCCAATCCAACTACCACGCCGCCAACATGTTCATGTCCGCCTTGGCCGCTCAGCGTCGCGAGCGAGGGCTGGCCGCCTCGGTCGTCCACATCGGCTTCGTCACCGATGTCGGCTACACCACGCGGCAGGAGCGGGCGATCTGGGAGATCTTCGCTCGCCTGCAGTTCAAGTTTATCTCCGAGATGGACGTGCACCACGCATTCGCCGAGGCCATCATCTCCGGCCGACCGGACAGCCACCGGCCGTGTGAAGTGGGCGTCGGTATGGACCCTCTGACGGAGCCCCTGCCGGCCGGCCACAAGCCAGCCTGGACCTCCGACCCGCGCTTCTCGCACTATCTGCCATCCACCAATGTCCGCAACGAGGTGGTGGCTCGATCGGGCCAGGATGACCTCAAGGAGCGGTTCCGCGAGGTGAGCACCGAAGCCGAGGCTGTGGAGCTCGCGCAGGACGCGTTCTCGGCCAAGCTTGAAACCATGATGCAATTGCCTGCCGGAAGCGTCTCGGTCCAGGTGTCGCTGATCGAGCTGGGTATCGACTCGCTCGTGGCCGTGGAGATCCGTACCTGGTTCCTGCGGGAGCTGGGCGCCGACATCCCCGTCCTCAAGATCCTGGGAGGAGACTCCATCGCTCAACTGTGCACCAACGCGGCCAAACAGCTGCTCGCCCAGCAGCTGGAGCAAACGGCCTCCTCCAAGGCAGAGGAGGTCGAGACCGAAAGCACGACCGTGGACGAGTCTCAGGACTCGTCGCAGACTCCATCCGAAGCCCCGGAAACCGCCGAAACCAGCTCCCTCGGGGCCGCCGACCAGGATCTGTCGTCTGCGAGCAGCTCTCCCAGCGTCGTCGATCCCACCGACGAAAAGGACGGCCACGAAGCCGGGGTGAACGTAGGACAAGACCCCCTCCTCCCCGATGTGCGACGCGACGCTGACGATGATGACTATGGCCAAGGTATAATCGAGAGCGAACGTCTCTCGTCTGGCCAGTCACGGATCTACATTCTCTCGCAGTTCCTCAACAACCCGACCGCGTACAACCTCATGTTCCAGTTCGAGATTGACGGCCACCTGGACATGGAGCGCCTCCGCAATGCGCTCGCCCTCACCATGCAGCACCATCAGTCCCTGCGCACGTGCTACTTCGTGCGCGAGGAGGACAATCAGCCCATGCAGGGCGTGCTCGTCTCCCCCATCGTGCGCTTCCGCCATGTCGCCGACGCGACGGCCGACGACATCGCCGCGGAGGCGACTTTAGCCAAAACCCGGGTCTGGGACCTCGCCCGGGGCGAGACCATGGAGATGGCGGTGCTCTCGACCTCCGTGCAGTCGCATACCATCATTCTTTCCTATCACCATATCATCATGGACACCACCGGCTGGCGCTTCTTCATCCAGGACCTGTCCGCCGCCTACCGCATGGAGCCCCTCCAGCACACCAGCAAGACCTACCTGGAGTACACGCGCCGACAGTTTGAGCACCAGCAGACCGGCCAGTTTCAGGCGCAGCTGCAGTACTGGAAGAACGAGTACTCGACCGTGCCCCCGGTATTGCCCTTGCTGCCCATATCCAAGACCAAGACGCGGCCCAGCACGCAGGACTTCCGCACCACCTACGAGTGGCAGGAAATCGGGCCAGAGGTCGCGCAGGCGCTGAAGGCCGCGTGCCAAAAACTGCGGATCACCGCCTTCCATTTCCACCTGGCGGTGTTCCAGGTCGTGCTGTCGCAGCTGGCGGGCACCGACGACCTCTGCATCGGGGTGGCGGATGCCAACCGGCTGGACGACGACTTCGCCGACACGGTGGGATTCTTCATGAACATGCTGCCGGTGCGGTTCCGCGTGTCCCCGGACGCGCGGTTCGCGCAGATCGCGCAGACGACGGCGCGCAAGGTGCTGGGCGCGGTGCAGAACTCGGCCGTGCCGCTGGACATGATCCTGGACGAGCTGCACGTGGCGCGCTCCTCTGCCCACACCCCCTTGTTCCAGGTCGCCGTCAACTACCGGCTGGGCGTCGTCAAGAAGATCCCCTTCGCCGGCCACTTCCTGACCATGGCCGACGTCCAGGAGGCCAAGAACCCCTACGACCTCAGCTTCGCCATCATCGAGTACGGCGCCGACGGCTTCGTCCTGGAGATGGCCTGCCAGGAGTCCCTGTACGACGCGGCCGCCACTCGCACCATCCTGGACACGTATGTGCGCGTGCTGAAGGGTGTGGTGGCAAACACCTACACTCCCGTCGCCGACGTGCCCATCCACGCTCCCGACGCAGTCCTGGCGGCCCTCGAGCTCGGCCAGGGCCCTCGAGTGGACTTCCACTGGCCTGAGACGCTGTCGGAGAAGGTCCAGCTTGCGCAGGAAGCCCATCGGGAGCAGATCGCCATCCGTGATGGAAGTCAGGCGCTCACATATGCTCAGCTCGCGGAGCGGGTAAACGCGATCGCTGCGGCTCTGCAGGTTGCAGGTCAAACGGCTGACTCCCGGGTCGCTGTCGTGTGTCAGCCCTCGGTCGACTTCACGGCCTCGATGCTCGCTATTCTCCATGTCGGCGCGGTCTACATCCCGCTGGACGTCAGTCTGCCACCGGCACGGCATGCGGCTATCGTCGCCAGTGCGCGGCCCAGCGTGGTGCTCTGCCATGAGGCCACTCTCGAGCGCGCTGGCCAGCTCGGCGCCGGAGAGGAGAATCTCGCCTTGCAGGTCATCAATGTAGATGCGATCGAGGCTGCTGTCAAGGAGACAATCCCTTGCACTGCACAGCCGCAATCGCCCGCCGTGCTCCTGTACACGAGCGGCTCGACCGGGAAGCCGAAGGGGGTGGTACTCTCGCAGCGCAACTTTGTCAACCACATTGCGCTGAAGATCGAGGCGCTGAATCTGCGGCCGCGACGCGAGACCGTGCTTCAGCAGAGCTCGCTGGGTTTCGACATGTCGCTGATCCAGACCTTCTGTGCCCTCTGCACGGGGGGAACGTTGGTGATCGTGCCGTACGAGTCGCGGCGCGATGCGCTCCACATCACCCGGCTGATGCACCAGCACCAAGTCACCATGACCATTGCCACGCCCTCCGAGTATCTGACATGGCTGCACTACGGGCGGGACTCGCTGGCCGAATGCGCCGGCTGGCGGTGGGCGTGCATGGGCGGCGAAGCGGTCCATCGCTCCCTGCTGCACGAATTCCAGCGGCTGGGCCTCGCATCCCTCTCGTATCTAAACTGCTACGGTCCGACGGAGATCACCGCGGCGGCCACCTTCCACCGCATCTCGCTGGAGACCGGGGAGGAGGATGAGCCTGAATCCCAGAGCACGGTCGGCAAAGCTCTGCCCAACTACGCCCTGCGGATCGTCGACGCGGCGGGCCGGCCTCAGCCGATCGGGTTCCGCGGGGAGATCTGCATCGGTGGCGCCGGGCTGGCGATGGGCTACTGGGCGTCGCCGGAAGAGACCGCGAAGCGGTTCGTCACGGACCGAGCATCGCCATCGACAAGATGGTATTGCACGGGCGACCAGGGTCGATTGACGGCAGATGGTACACTGGTTTTCCAGGGTCGGCTGGAAGGGAGCACGCAGGTCAAGTTGCGCGGGCTTCGGATCGAGCTGGAGGAGGTGGAAGGAGCTCTGCTGCAAGCAGGGGCGTCGCTGTTCTCGACGGTCGTGGTCACCGTTCGAGACGACGTCCTGGTGGCCCATGCGACGACGGTCGGTGATCGGACTGGTGAGATCGAGCCGGCGGTTATCGCAGACTTGTTGGCGAACCTGCCTCTGCCGCAGTACATGTGTCCGGCTCAGGTGGCCATTGTCGACGAGCTGCCGCGCAATAGCAATGGCAAGATTGACCGCAACGCCCTCGCCACCGCGCCGCTTCCTTCGGCGTCTCGTTCTGGTGGTGATGCCAGTCAGCATGGTACTGCACCTAAGCTGAGTCTTCGTCAGGGCGAGCTCCGCATTCTTTGGGAGAAGGTCCTGCCGCCGACCAGGCACGCGCTGACGGCCGAGTCGGACTTCTTCCTCGAAGGCGGCAACTCCCTGCGGCTGATCAAGCTGCAGCACGCCATCAAAGAAGCGATGGCGGTCTCCATCTCCACCCGCGAGCTGTACGAGGCCTCGACGCTGCGCCAGATGACCGCGCGGATCGACTTCCAGCGCGAGCACCAGGTCATCGAGAACGAGGCCATTGACTGGGAGGCCGAGACAGCCGTTCCCAAGTCTCTGGTGACCGCGGCGCGGAACGCCAGCAAGCACTCTACCGTCCGCAGGAACGACGATCAAGCCATCGAGGTGCTCCTGACCGGAGCCACGGGCTTTCTGGGCGGATGCATCCTGAACGAGCTCCTGCAGGACGCTCAGGTCCACAAAGTGCACTGCGTGGCTGTTCTACCTGACGAGCAGAGCCACCTCCCGGCCCACGATAAGATCGTGACCTACACGGGGAGTCTGTCGTCTTCGACGCTGGGGCTCAACCCGTCCGAGTGCCTCGCGCTGCAGGAGGCCATCGACGTGGTCATCCACGCCGGCGCCAACGGCCACTGCCTCAACAACTACTCCTCCGTGCGCCAGGCTAACGTGCATTCCACTCAGTTCCTGGCGTCCCTCTGCGCCCCGTCCGCCGTTCCCCTGCTCTACATCTCCTCCAACCGAGTGCCCTTGCTCGCAGCCAACAACACCGCCCCGGTACCGGGTCCCGTGGCCGCCGAGCCGCCCTCCAACGGCACTGAAGGCTACACGGCGTCCAAGTGGGCCAGCGAGCAATTCCTGCAGCGGGCCTCGGCGCTGACGGCGATGCCTGTGGAGATCCACCGCCCGTGCGTGGTGATCGGCGACCAGGCGCCGACCTCGGACGCACTGAACGCGATCCTGCGCTACTCGCTTCAGATGAAGGCCATCCCGCGTTTCGCCAACGTGGAGGGGTACTTTGATTTCAAGCGGGTCGAGGAGGTGGCGCGCGAGTTGACCACCGCCGCTGTCGAGATGAGTCGTCATCGCGGCGCAGGGCCGCAAGAAGAAGGGTCTCAGCAGCAGCAGCAGCAGGTGCGCTTCCGGCATCATTCGAGCGGCAACAAGGTCGCGTTCCCGGCCATGGTGGAGCACATGCGCACGTTGTATGGGGAAGAGTTTGCGGAGGTGGAGTTTATGGAGTGGATTGCGCGGGCCCTCGAGCACGGGATGGATCCCTTGATTTCCATCTATCTGGAGAGTTTGGTGGAGAAGGGCGAGACGCTCCGGTTTCCGTATATGGGCGAGACGCTGGCTGTTTAGATGAGGTGTTTTGCTTCTTTTGTCTTTGATTTTAATTTTCCTTGCTGGTGTTGGTATCGTGTCAGTTGGGCGTTTGGATATCTGGATGATTGTCTTGTGCTTTGATTAGCGAGGCGTTTTGTGGATCTGGCTCTCTATGTCCTCACTTCATGCTACTTATATATTCGAGCCTTTGATAGTGTACTAGTACTAGTACTGAATCTGTCCCATGAGGATCGAACTTCATCTCAGAACCCTTCCCGAAAGATGTACAAGTTACAGGTAGAGGAGAAGACTCAAGGAAACAAGTTCTTGGTTCAAGGATACCAGCATAGATGGAGGTGATATGAGAAAGAAGAAGTTGAAATGAAGTGAAGCCGAAGCCGAAGCCGAAGCCGAAGCCTTCGGTGGCAGGTCACGTGGCCGGAGCGCGTCCTGTCTCCACCAAACAGGGTCTGGATGGTTCACGGTCGCATTTTCATATCTCAACACATGATGGCTTCCCAAGACATCCATTCCAACCATTAGACCCCTCTTCACGCGCGGATCCCAAATCATGCTCGCAGCCGTCAATCTCCAACTCCCTTGGAAGTTTGCGATCGCATCACGTGATAGCTACCGTGTGCCTGAAGGATGCCCGAGGCACTGCACTCGTCTACGCTCCAGCTTGAATGTGAAGCTCTCTGGAATTTGAACGCTTTCTCTCCCTCATCTCAGTCTCTCCGTCCAACGGTCATCATGTGCGCTGGTACAGCAGCCCAGTTCCATTAAGACACCTCCCTGAATGATCACACTGTTTGTCTAAGAAATGATTATTGATTTTGGTTGGTAGGAAAACAAACACGAAAGGCAAGAATTGTCACGCATCGCTAAAGCGCCGCTCGGCTGAGCTCTAACCAGCAAACACAAATATGCTCCACCCATTAGCCCGATGCTTCTTTCCTAAAGAATAACTCGGGATTTTCTGTCTCGTTTTCTATGGTATCTATTTCGAAGAAGACAACATCCCTTCGCACCTTGTTCTTTACCCCCCGCTCCCCAAGGGACTCAACCCCAACCCTCCCTTTCCCTAACAGCCCCTCAAGCCGGAGAAAAATACCCCCACAGGTCAGCTAACTGCTCTAAGGAGTCCTTGACGCTAGTCTGGAACCGCGTGGCCCGGAGCACAGGCCGGTACTGCACGTCAGCGAGGTCGATGAACAGCCGCAGGACCTCGCGGGGGCGCCGCAACTCGACCAGCTGGCCGTCGCGGTCGGCGAGGACGGGCTCGCCCTCCTTGTACTTGATGAAGTTCAGGAGGGCCGGGTGGTCGGCGGGGACGTCGTTCAGAACGACGGACCGCAGCTGCGGAGGCACGGTGGCGCCGCGGTCGCTGACAGAAGCAGAAGCGGAGCTGCTCATCATGGAGATGATGCTGCTGGAGCTGGCGCCGCTGGAGCTGCTGGTGGCCGACGAGGAGGCGAGGCTGACGGCCTCGACGGGGCCCAGCATGAGCGCCGGCAGCCAGTCGTGCGGGTGGCGCTTCATCGACAGGAATATGGTGATCAGCGCGACGCGGTACACCACGGCGGACCACCAGAGCGGCTGGTCCGCGGGGGGCATCAGGCGCACCAGGCGCAGGATCTGGCCGCAGTGGACGAGCGCCTCCTCCTCGCTGTCATGGGCGATGGTCGCCGGACAGGCGCCCAACGGACACGGGCCGGATCCCCGCGGGTTAGGGGCCTCTGGGCGCGCGGGGGGCCCGCGAAGCAGCGCGGCCTCGATGCTGGGAAAGCTCGCCATCGCGTTCAGCGCGATCAGGTGGTACATGACCAGCATGGCTAGGCCGGCGGGCGAGTTGGTGTTGGCCGAGTGCACGGCCAGGTTGAACCATTCGGGCAGCAGGGCCTGCACCTGGTCGAGCTGGGCGTGGATGGCCGGGTTGGACAGGCCCTGGGTACTTTTGCGCCAGCGCACCGGGCAGTTGGGGAAGGACTGCAGCCACTGGCGCAGGTGGCAGACCATCCCGTGCAACGGGACGAGCAGCAGACGCAGATATTGCAGGGGCAGCCGCGTGCCTCGTCCGGGGCGCAGCTCGCCGTTCATGAAGCAGGTATACAGGTCGCGCAGGCAGATCGGGGGTTGGCTGGCGAAGACCTCGGGCGCGAGACGTGCCCAGTCACTCTCGGAGCCCGCCTTCCACAGTCGGTCGTCGGCGGGTAGTGACTCGGTCAGCGTGTCCACGGAGAAGCTGAGAGGAGTGTCGTAGAACAGGCTCCATTCTTGATCTGCTATTACCCACGCGTACGTGAGCCTACCCGATGAAGTCAGTGGACAGTCTATGATGGCAAGCAGAAAGCTGCTGTCACTCACCGCGAGTTCATCTCCTCCTCCTTCCATTGCGCCCATTGTTGGTTGAGCCCTAGACTGCTGCTAAGAAGGCTAGGAGTGTCGCCGTTGTTAAGGGAAGGGGGCTTTCGGTGTAGTAACTATATTACTGCCGGTCAGTATTCCCATTCGACCTGGGGTCATAGCCCAAGATCAGAAAGACTTGCCTGAGTGTACATCTGCCGGTGAGCGCAAGAGGTCTGTGGCCAGTGGAAAGGCAGGTTAGCAGATGAGATGGCGACATAAAAAGGCAAAAATAATGCGACATATCGTCGGACTCACCCGCATGAGCCATCGCTCACCAGACCACATCCCCAGATAAAGCAGCAAAAGAGCGCAATGAGATACGATATCCGGCCTCGTGCTGGCCACGTCTCCTTCCATCATATCGGACAATGCAGTGCGACACGTCTCCGTCAAGCCGGTCGCGAAGATGTGCAGTTCTGGGGCCGGGGAAGCTGTGGCTCCGATCGCGATCATCAGCAGAAGCAGGATGCCAGCGGCCTTGACGTCGTGCGGAAGATCATTCATGAGCATGTTTGGGTCTTGTAGCTCCCCGCTCGACAGGCCAAAGTACTGCTCGAAGCAGGAGACCTGGGCTCGTAAGAGGTCATCCAGCGCCTTGGCTGGAGGTAGGGTCACGATGGTGAGGTTGAGTGGACTGAGTCTACGGCCGTGGCTGCTATGTTCCCGCGAGTGGACATTGCGGGTCTGCATCAGTAGTAGTTGGGTCACCACCAGGAGGTTGTCGCGGGTGGTGTCCGTGATAGGGTCTACGGCCGGTGGTGTGGCGATCGAGGAGGCACTGGACTCGGTGCTGCTGGTATTCCACGGCTCTCGCGACTTGAGCGTCTGCTCGAATTGCTGCAGGCTGAGGCGCATCTGGCTGCTCCAATCTTCCCCCCAATGCCGTGGCTGCCCTGGACATAGAGCGACAAGGGGGCTGTTGCGCCCGCAACTCGAGGATTTGCGCGGAGAGTGACTCAGGGGAGGGACGGTCATGGGCTCCAGGTATGATTCCCACAGGACATCGCTTGTGGAATAGCTGATGAGCTCGCTGATGAGGTCGAGGTCGGGTGTGGACTGATGCGGGGCTTCCTCATCCAGGACCATAGCCAAGGGCATATGTAACGATGACTCTGGAGTAATCTGCTGTAGCCACTCGGTGGACAAGTGCGTCGTCTCCTCGGTGCTGGGGTAAGGGACACTGGCTGCTTGAAGGCGCAACAAGCCGTCCGGACTGCCGGTCTCCATGTCGGACCCTACTATTGCTGTGCTATCAGGCCCTACTAGGTTCTGTTTCGTTGTTTCCGGTGCAGTCTGCTGCTCTTCTCCCCGTGGGATGTCGTCTGGCCGTAGCCTTCGTAATTGGAGTTCCGCCGGGCGTTGCATGGCTCGCCGAGCAGAGCGCGGTTGGCAGACCAGCTGCTTACTGACGCATCGTGTGCAAGGCACCTGTGATACTCGAACTCTTGGTCAATCAATGATGTAAAGAAGCCACGCAGGGACTTCACAGCGCGCCTACCTTGCGATCGCATCGCGCCTTGGCCTTGGAGCAATGCGAACATGCGATGTACCTGGTCTCGGTGGTCTTCATACTGATGGTGGTCGTAAATCCAAGCTTCTGTGCTCCATCGAGAGGTGGAGCTGGGCCGCCGGAGAGAAGATATAGGCCAGAGATGCGGAGAGAGATAGCCACGGAAGTATCCCTGTTCTATAGATTCCCCTAGAGTCTGCCTCGATTGAATCCAAGCGATCCTCCAAGTTGATCCTTCGAAGCCGTCAGCATTTCCCAGCTTCTCTGCTGTGGTTGCGGCTATTGCCATTGGATCGACAGGGTGAGAAGTGTATCAATCTGGTAATCTTCAGCCTGGCCATGTATCGCCACATTGCAGTTTAGGTTTGAGTTGGCCTGGAGGTGCTTCTCGACGTTCTCGGCGCAGTTTCGGCGATCCTGAATCATGGCAATCACATCACACATACTTCTCGCAGAGACAACAGAGAGAGAGACAGGGACACAACAATGTTGGGGTTACAAATTTCGCCCCCATGATCCTTCCGCCTAGCCTCGACCAGCATCAACATCCTTACGAGCGTTATGGAGGCCTTGTTTGACCCCGCGACTGTTAGTGGGGGCGGTGGCGCCGAAGACCCTATCTCACTTCGCGTGGTTGAAGAAGCACGGGAAAAAAAAATAGAATAAAAAAGGATCAAAGCCATTTGTCATCTGAGCCTACCTGAAAACTTACTAGTCACCGATATACTAAGACAAATTCCAGGAGTCTGATAAAGAGAGTGGTCGAGTAGTCTCCTCCTGCAGGATCTAGCCAGAAAGCACGTCAGCCCACGTTGTTTGTTGATTCTAGCGTGAGGCTTCCCACGCGGCGGAAGATGCGCCAAGATGGAGCTATTTCATCTAGGGTTACATTTACAGTACCTAGTAGTTAACTTACTGTACATTGTTTTTTTTTTCCACTTGGGATGGGGACCGTGCACCACTGCTTCGCCAACAGCCCGTCCACTAGTAATGCCTCTCTTATACTAGATGCCCCAAAGAATTCCCAGAGTAGAGTCGTAGAATCTTATTCCAAGTGAACTGAACTCATCACTGACAACCAATTGATTAGTTCATGGCCAACTTGCTAATACGACGG